GGACTGAGAGGTCGGTTTGAATCACAAGGTTAGCAGTTCAAACTCACCAGCTGCTCCTTGGAAACCCTACACAGAGTCACCATGAGTCAGAACTGACTTGACAGCACTTAACAACATGGTAAATGGTAGTAATAATAATAGTAGTCAGGGCATGTTATAGATTTAAAGTTTGGAACTGTCTAAATTTGAGAAATTAAATTCCTAACTCATAAAATAAATCACATGCTCCATGAGAGTTTAGGAAACAAGATTTGGCACAGAAAAATAAATCCAAAAACCCTCTCAAATTAGAAAAAAAAATTAGCCTAAGAAAACAAAGGACTCAGTCAAAATAATCCTGAAAAAAGATTTCAAAACAGTATAGTTTGGGCACAAGGTCAGACAAATGCAGGCAGTCCCCAGATTGTGAACATCCAATTTACAGACAACTCATACTTATCCTTTAATAGTATGCAAATTTTCCCTTATTTACAAAAGATTGATCACAAAAAAATTTCTTTATCACAATCACTTTCACTTGCTGCATGTATTGCTTTTACATCATTGAAATGGCTTTGAGCCTTTTCTTGCACTAAAAATTAAAATTAAAATTAAAAAACCCTACTGCCATTGAGTTGATTCTGAGTCATAGTGACCCTATATAGGACTTCTCAGGCTATAAATCTTTACAGAAACAGAAAGCCTCATCCTGCTTCTGCAGAGATTGAACTAATAACCTGTGGTCTAGCTGTCCATGCCTAACCTACAAGAACCATAGGCACCTGTTTCAACTTAGCTACAAATGTGACTTAAAGGCATACTTAGGAACAGATCTTGTTCATAACTCGGGAACTGCCCATGGATCACTTGTACAGAACACAGACTTCAGAAATAAACCTATATATATATAGTTAATTAGTTTTTAACAAAGGCATTAAAGTTATCCAATAAAGAAAGGAAATTCTTCAATAAACATGTGAGAAAAAATAAATGTAGGAGGGGGAAATGCACCTCAGCTTCCAACTAACACCATTCATAAAAATCATCTGCGATGGATCACAGACCGAGACATAAAACTACAAAACTTCTACAAGTAACAGTAGAAGATTATCTTTACAATTTGGGCTATACAAAGATGTCTTAAAACATGAAAATAATTAGGAAAAAGAGAAAAATTTAAAATGGAATTTCATCAGTATTTTAAACTTCTGCTCATCAGTAGACACATCAAAAAATGAAAAGGCAAGTCAGATATTGGGGAAAATATGGGTCATACATATATGTGACAAAAAAGTTGTACCCAGAATATACAGACAACTAGTGTTTCGTTCTGTTGTGTATAACGTCGCTATGAGTTGGTGCTGACTCGATGGCACCTAACAAAAACAATTACAAATCCATAGCTAAAACACAGCTGTTTTTTAATGAACAACACATTTGAAAAGAAGATAAACAAATGACCAAAAATATATGAAAAGTGCTCAACAAATTCAACCAAATCCCAAATCCCACTGTGATCAAGTTGATTCTGACTCATAGCAACCTTATGTTGTTGTTAAGTGCCATCGATCAGTTCCAACTCATAGCAACCCTACACAGGGTTTCTAAGGAGCAGCTGGTGAGTCTGAACTGCTGACCTTGTGGTTTAAATGACCTTGCGGTCAAGTGCTTATCCTACAGCACCACACCAGCAACCTTATAGGACAAAGTAAAACTGCTCCTTTGCGTTTCTAAGACTGTAAATCTTTACATGAACAAATAGTCTCTCCTTTCTCCCCCAGAACAGTAGGTGGGTTTGAACCACCAACCATTAGTTTAACAGCCAAATGCTTATTATCCAACAGATTTAGTCACTAGAAAAATGTGGATTGAAACCAAAATGAAATACCATTTCAAAACCACCTGATTAAAATGTGAAAGACTGGCAACATCAAATGTGGTGGTGGCAGTGTGCCATGGAGTTGGCTCAACTCATAGCTGAACCAGAATAGGGTTCCAAAGGCTATAATCTTTACAGGAGCAGAAAGCCTCATCTTTCTCCTGCGGAATGGCTGGTAGTTTTGAACTGCTGACCTTGAGGTTAGCAGCCCAACTCGTAACCACTGTGCTACCAGAGCTCCTTAAAAATCTTATAAGAGGACACAAAATAAATAGAACTCTCATACATTTCTGTGACACAAAACTATTTTGGAAAAACTCCTACGGTTTTTTATGAACATAGACCTACCTTATGACCCAAAGTCCTGGTAGTATAGTGGATTATGAATTGGACTATTAACCACAAGGTCAACAGTTCGAATCTACCAGTCACTCCTCAAGAGAAAGATGAGGCTTAATGGTCTGGTAAAGGTTTACAGCCTCAGAAACTCTACACAGGGCCTCTAAGAGTCACAAGTGATTCCACGGCACACAATCACCAACCACCACCACCATCTATGACCCAGCAAAAAAATTGTACAATAATGTTTGTAACAAACTGTATTTATAGCTGCCAAATACTGAGAACTATCTAAATATCCATCAACCAGAGAGCAGATAAACAAATTATAGTGCAATTTTAAAATGGAATGCTACTCAATCATAAAAAATAATGATTAATACAAAATCATGAATGAATACCCAAAAAACATTATGGTTAGTGACATAAACCAAGCACCAAGATTACATACTGAATGAATTCATTTACATGGCATTCAATGGGAGGCTAAATTAATCTACGATGATAGAAATGTTGCCTGTGTGGAGTGAAAACTGAGTGGAAGAGGGAACAAAGGAGCAGTCTGTGGTGATGAAAACATTCTGTCATGGAAGTGGAATGATACTCAGCTGCTGTTTAGAGTTATTAAGACACTGAGCAGGACCCTCCCAATGCATGCACAGAGTGCAGTGTACTTTACCTTAATAAATACACATCGGTTCCTTTACTTTCATATTAAAAAGTGTTGTGCATATCACAGGGCACACTGCATGCAGTGAATAAATGCCTGTGTTTAGAGATTCCTGGTGTGGTGCTGCAGAATACTGTACTGGACCACAAGGTCGGTTTGAACTGCAAAGTCAGCTGTTCAAACCCACCAGCCACTCCTTGGAAACCCTATACAGGATCGCTATGTGTCAGAACTGATCCAATGGCACTTAACAACTAGAGGCTCAAACAAAACTGGTTATTGACGATCAAAAATATATTTTTCATCAGACTTGCCAATATAAGCATGAATTGTTGTTAACTGCTATTGAGTTGGCACTGACTCACAGCAACCTTATATAGGGTTTCCAATGAGCGGCTAGAGAGCTTGAAGTGTCGACCTAGCAGTTCAAAGCAACCTTGCAGTCTAGCGCATTAACCCACAGCACCACACCAGGACACCTTAAGTATGAATGGACCTGATTAAATACTGAATCAATCAAATGTTGAATCAGCCATGAAAAGAATACACAACCTTATGATTTCTATTCTACCTTGGGAATGAAAGGGACCATTTATAATATTAAATCCAAAAAAAGTGTGGCGCTCTAGGATAAGTACTGAGCTGTGTGATGCTGCAGGATAATGTACTGGACCGACCGCAAGGCCAGTTTGAACAGCAAGGTCGGTGGTTCAAACCCACCAGCCACTCTTTGGAAATCCTAGACAGGGTCACTATGGGTTGGAAGTGACTCGGCAACACTTAACAGCAACAACATTATCTGCAAGGTCAGAAGTTCAAACCTACCAGCCACTCCTTGAAAAAGTTACACAGGGTTGTTTTGAGTCGGAACCAATTTGATGGCAGTTAACAATACCATGTTATTACAAATTGGGCAGAGAAGATAGCTAACAATATAATGTGACAATAATTTATGTAGGAAAAAATATTATACTAACTAGACATAATGTCTGCTTTGAATCAAATCCAATAGAGACATAATTCATAGTAAATTCTTTTGCTATGCTGTTTTGTTTTTAAGTGCCATAAGGTCAGTTCTGACTCATAGCGATGATGCATAGAGTTTCTAAGGCTTCAAATCTTTGCAGGAATAGAAAGCCTCATCTTTCTCTCTCAGAATAGCTGGTGAACTCGAACTACCAACCTTGTGGTTTGCAGTATCTTATTAGATGACGATTAATACAGACTAAATAAAAGCATTATTGTTGTTATGAGCTGTGGAGCCGGTTCTGATGCATAACAACCCTGTATAGGGTTCTCAAGGAGTGGTTGGTGAGTTTGAACTGCTGTCCTTTCGTTTCAAACCGACCTGTCAGTCAGGTGCTTATCCTACAGTGCCACACTAGGACTCCAAGTAAAAGCATTTTGTTGTTGTTTTGTGCCATGGAGTCAGTTCCAACTCATAGCAACCCTATACAGGGTTTCCAAGGCTGTAAATCTTAACGGGAGCAGAAAGCCTCATCTTTCTCCCAGGGAACGGCTGGTAGTTTCGAACTGCTGACCTTGCAGTTCACAGCCCAATTCGTAACCACTATGCTACCAGAGCTCCTGAAGTAAAAGCATACCTATGATAAAACTGGTGTGGTGTGGTAGGATTAACACTGGACTGCTAACCACAAGGTCAGTAGTTCAAACCCAGCAGCCACTCCTTGGGAGAAAGAAGAGGCTTTCTGCTCCCGTAAAGATTTACAGCCTCGGGAACTCTGTACATGAATCAGAATCGACTTGATGGCAGTGAGTTTTTTTGGAAGCTGAAGTTGACAAAATTTTACTAAGTATTTTAAATATTTACTGTATAAATGAAGAAAAGCAATGCTGCTTTTGTTTTTGTTTTTTTGTTTTCACTTAATTAAGCAACACATTCTGGAATGTTTTAACCAGAAACCCATCTACTTCCAAACTTAAATGAAAGACCATTCTAAATACACACACAAATACATAACCTATCTGTATACATGCATATGTTTGTCTGTTCATGTGTGTATGTGTAAACAAGTTCTCAAGTAGTCTCGAACTGATTTGGTGTTGGTACTGGAAGGAAACCCTGAAGACTGAGTAGTGGGTTTGGGGAAGCTCTTTGGAGAAGTCAGCTACCTGAGCCCTCTTCTGCACCTCCAACAGGAGTTCCGAGTACTGCCGCTCCAGCTCCTTCTTTTGTTGATGCCAGCAGCTCTCCTGGGCTTTGATCTGCTCCGCCACCTTGGTAAAGGTGTCCTCCTGGGTCTGCTGGAGTTCTCGCATTGTGTCCGACTTGTTTTTACAGATATATTCTAGATGACTTATCTGTAGCAAGGAATGCAACCAAGAATGAGACATGCTCACAAGCCATTTCACTATACCACCTCCCCCAAAAAAAGAACTCAAAATTTGTCTACTGTATTTTTGTTCTCAGGACTGTAGAAACAGTTTAAGTTGTGATGCAAATAAAGAAACTAAGGGACAGAGATCAGCAGAGTCAACGATCATAATTTAACAAAGAATGATGTCATTTGTGCATTTTGACTATAATTTTTGTAATTCTCTTTCTAATAAAAGTGCTCATTAAATAATATGTTTTTCTGAGAAGATTAAAATGGATATTTTTATTCCTGGAGCCAAAGCTCAAACTAATCAGTTACCTCAATGGGAAAAGAGTTATTGAAGTCAGAGTAACCAATCTGCAGACATTCTACATAAAATAAAACAGAATGTCCTAACCACTTTTTACTTTACATTTAAAACCCTGGGAGGAATATCCTCATCTTATAGCATATGTGACAATAATGATGTTTTGACCTTATGAAAAACTGTTAAAAATGTAACACCATCTCAGAGGGCTAAACACACACACATATATACACATACATCCTAAAGAGCAGTAATTTTCAAACACTTCCCACAGAGCTATACATACAAACACTGTACCCATGACACACACATTCACAATCAGGGACAACATCTGTGCTTCTCACAACTGATGCTCTCATCTCCTCAAACCTACAGACCTTCTCCTGAGTGTCTATACTGTGTTTACCAGTATAGACACGGTCGCATACTTAATAATAAGAAACCTCATCCTGAAATTGGACCACAATGCTGTTTCATTACTTCAACAGGTGCAAAAATACTTAAGATTACTTTTTCTCTTTTTGTCCCTTCAAAGCAAATACCAGCACAACCAGACCTGGAAAGCTGACCTCATCAACATAGATAGTGCTGACCAGTTCAATACATTCAGGATACAACTCAATATCTTTAACAGTGGCATATGATGGTCTGCTATGCCAGCTTAATTTTCTATTATCAAAAGAGGCTTTGTATTTACCTCTTTTTCTGTTTTTGAAGACTGATTTCCTTGATTTATGAATTGGTAGAGTACCCATAAAAAGTCTTCTGTTTTCTCCTGAAACATCTAGTCCTTACATTCTAAAACATGGAATGGTTTTTGCAATGTATGGTTTATTAACATTCCAACAAATAAGTCATAAACATCATTTGAAATTTTAAGGGCTTTTTAAAATAACACCTTGTCTTTCCCAAAGAATTTTAAGATCATGTTTTTGAATAACTGCATTTTGTTTCTATTTTATGCTAAGATAAAGAGTTGGTTTATTAATGTAAATGACTAAGTTCTTTGAGTTGCTTCATCAGTAAGATTAATTTATTTTCTTTTAATTAGGTCCCTGTGGCTAATACTGGCTAGTAGTATTAGCATGTCCTGAACAGAAAGTGGAGCTTAGAGACTTCATACAGACTTCAGTCACATTTACATGCCCACAGCAATGGCATCAAACTGAGTTGTAGACAAGCCATAATTAATGGTATTGAATTATTAACATCCAAATTCTTTTTGAAATAAGATGAATGTCAGCCCCTCTTAATGATACTGTGATGTGGACAAATGTCACTGAATTTAATAGAGGTATCTGGTGCCTGAGGACAGTTACCTTCTCATTAGCCCTGTTGAGATCTGTGATCAGGGCATCAACATTCTCCTGCAAGACTGCACAAAGCTCAGACCAGGAGAATTTATCCAGCATGCCTTCTGGTTGTTTTATGAGCACACAGCCTGCTACCAAGTGCTGATACAAGGTATGAAGGAAGGTTAGCTTCTCCTGTGAGGAAAAGAAGAGGCATTAATTCCAGTATATAAACATTGTAAGAAGTACACCACATAATATACATAGTGAACAACTTATGTCAAAAATCTAGAAAGGAATAAAAATACTCAAGTCTCAGAATATTTTTATTACGATGACTTTTTTTTTTTTCATGCAAAACTAAGTTTGAGATTCAGTACAGGGGTCTTAGCTAGCCAATGATGCTATAACAGAAATACCACAAGCTGTTGGCTTTAACAAACAGAAATGCATTCTCTCCCAGTTTAGGCTGCGAGAAGTGCAAACTGAGGGTGCCAGCTCTAGAGGAAGACTTTCTCTCTCTGTTGACTCTAGGGGATGGTTCCTGCCTCCTTTCAACATCTGCGGACCTTGCATTCCTTGGAGATCTACATGTGTCTTGGCATCAGTCTTCTCCTGGTTGTAAGAGGTTCTCAGCACAAGGACCCCAGGTCCAAAGAACACGGCTGAGTTTCTTTCTTTATGGTACTGAGGTTCTCACTTCTCTGCTTGCTTCTCTCTCCTTTTATCTTTCATAAGAGAAAAGATAACAGAGGCCACACCCAAGGGAAACTCCCCTTTAAAAAGATCATGACTTATCAGGGGGCTTTTTTGAAACATGTTCCTAAGAGTGATGCATCCCATTTAATACTACCTTACCTAGCTGAATCCTCTTTCACACAACCTAGCCCTGCCTAACCTAACTCCTGGTGTGGCGCTGCAGGATAAGCAATGGACTGTAAGCCACAAAGTAGATGGTCCAGCAGTTCAAACTCACCAGCTGCTCCTCAGAAAGCCTATAAAGGGTCACTATGAGTCAGAACTAATTTGACGGCAATTAACACAACAACCCTACCTCTGCTGTGATTTATATGATAAGCACTGGAATGCTAATGCATGGTCAAAAAGTCAAATCCACCAACTGCCCTTGGAGACCCTATACTGGGTCACTATGAGTCAGAGTTGACTTGAAAGCACACAACAACAATCCTGCCTCACTAACCACAACACATCATGAAGTGGAGGATAATCACACAATATGGTCTTCACAAGTTCACACGTATTTGAGGGGATCACAATTTGATCCATGGCAACAAAGATCCAACTTAGGATATATCTCAGATACAGAGAACTGTATTTACAACCCCCTGGTTGTTTTTGCACATTTCATTATTTGTAATTCGCACTATATACCACGCTGCAGTGCATAGTTTACTGATGCTATCATTCTCACCTGTTCACTTACATGTGCTCAAGATTAAGTTTATAAGGGAACTGGTAATAAAATACAAAAATAATGGAAACTTAAAAAAAAAAAAAAAAATGGAGAGGTATTCAACTTACATCAGAACCGAGCTATGCTGGAGTTTTTGGAACGGAACCCCATCACAAATCAGGGACTACCTGTACTTGGCATTGTTGACCTCTGATATTCAAAACCAAACTCTGAAGATGAGAAGGCAGAGTACAAGGGTTCTGCCCTCAGATTCATCTCTGAGGATACGTGATCTAAACAGGCACCTATTTCAACCTTATCTTCCTTGACTACAACACAAGGTATGCAGACTAGTCGTTTCTAACCCCTTCTAACTGTCAGTCAGTATGGTGAGTCTATGATTTCGTATTTACATTTGCCAAAACAAATATTATTTAAGTCAAAAAAATCCATCCAGAGAAAAGAGAGTGATTCAACTTTGTCGGAGAAAAGTTCCACCAATCTCTGTGCTTTACATGTAGACAATTACTCAGCTTTCGTTCTCCTCCCGAGATTCCAGTTTGTTCACCACTTATAGTAAATCGATCCCTAGCCCCTTAGGCAAAGAAGACAGTGATATGAAAGATGGGGAAGGTGGACTCATTTGTTTTCTCCACTTCTAAGTTCATAGACTCTTTGGCACACTGGGCATTGGCACAAGTTTAAACATTATAAAGTAACAGGAAATAAATAAATGGACATGGCTGCTCATGACATACTTTCAAACCTGTCCAACTAGAAAAATATTTTCAATCCTTTTAACTCGTCTTGTGATGGCAGTAAATGAAGCCATTCGTTGTTAGATGAATTAGAAAACCTAGAAATACTTTATTTACAAAAATGCCAAATGCTTCTCTCTATAAGATGTTCCATCTTTAATAAAATTCCAAAGTATAAGTCCAAAAGATAAGGTCATTGTAAAGGTAAAAAGTGAATATTTCATGCAGATAAAATAAGTGTCCTCAAAAATTTTTAACAGATCATTAGGATGGAAAGCTATTAAAAGGAGAAATTTTAAGAGAAAAAAACAAAAAAAAAAATTACAATTGAAATTAAGAAAGACTGAAAATAGCAGATGTAATAGTTTTTTAAGTAGAAATTCTGAGGAAAGTTTTCCAATATATATATCAAAATGTATATTTTTCATTCAACCTATATGCAACCTTACTTTTTTCCAAATATAATAATCTGAAAATCAAGGAATATGCACATTCAGTTACAACCACAAATCTGTGTTAAGGAAGGCTTCATAACTATGCTAAGTCCTGTCCTTTTATAAGCAGTAAAGATGGCTTTTGCATTTTTCAAATGGTTTTAGACATTTAAAAATCTTATTAACTCCAACTAACCAAATGTAATACGCAGGCACTAAAGTTCCCCTCTCCCACATTTCTCTGAGTGACAGAGTTCATCCTCGGGATAATTCATCGAGTCACTGTTATGTCCTTTTTGCTTGGGCTGTGATAAACCAAGCATGATAATCATCCATTTGGCGTGAAAAGAAGAATCCCAAGACCCAACATCAATTCACAAATGTTGAACCTAACCGCAATGCTGTAGACATGCTGACTTTACAATACATGCAGGCTTCTCATTTCCTTATTTTAATCATTATCTGATGTGTAGAACAATTCCAACCCCTTCATGTGGACACAATTTAAATCCCAGCCTTTAAGAAGGGTGGAAAGAATGTTTCCTTTTGACTCTCTTGGCATTCGTGTTCATATTTGTTGGAGTAATGAACTCAATATGCGGATGACTCAGATAAACCATTCTAGCTAGACTAGTTCTATGGCCCATGGGTACAAGAAAATACAAGCTAATTATGCCGTTACACAGGATCATACAGAAAATGAAAGTTTCATCAGAATATTCTAACAGCCATTAAAGAATGAAAATTCAAGTTTTAGTTTTATGGGACTCCTATGTTTCTAAATTTTTATTAATACCCTATGAATATAAAGAAAAAGGAGATTGTCTACTAAAGTAAATAGGATTTCTGTTTTGTAACTCAGCAAACTAAGACTTGAAGAGATTAGACTGTGTAAGGCTTTCATTCTTATTGTAAACAAATACAACTTTATTCTTAAAATCCTTTGGTCACGGTAATGCAGTTTGTCAACAGAAGCACCAGAATCCCAGTCCTGGTGTTTCTGGTGGAAACATATCTGTCCACCATACCAAGCAGCTACTGAACTACTACAATAAAAAAATAACTCTGACATTGGAAAGTAGGCAAATCTTGAAAGGTTTGTTAGGAGCGCAGCTGTTAAAACAGCCAAAGACAATTCCTTGTATAGGTGATGGTTGTTGCTGTTGTTGTCGCTAAGTGCCATCAAGTCGGTTCCGACCCATAGCGACCCTGTGTAGGGCTTCCAAGGAGCAGCTGGTGAGCTTGAATCACTGACTTTGCAGCTCAGCACATTAACCCGCAGGCCCACACCAAGACTCCTATATAGGTGATGTTGTTAAGTGCTGTCAAGTCGGTTCCGACTCATAGCAACCCTGTATAAGGTTTCTGAGGAGCATCTGGTGCGTTTGAACTACCAACCTTGTGGTTCACAGTCCAGTGCTGATACTACAGTACCACACCAGGTGATACGAGGGTTAAACTACCTTATTTCTCTCACAAAATAGAATGACAGAAAAGTAACAGAGAGACTGATATTGTAGCTGTCAGGCATATTTCAAAATACCCAACTTAGAACAATTTTCTGAATTAAATCAAACAGAAGTAAAAAGAGTCACTTGATGTATGTAATTGTGTGGAACCGAGATTAGTAGGAGGCCTCTCCGGACAGTCGTTTTGTCTCAGGTAATACCTCAGCATCCTTGTGGAAAGCCTGGGATAGCTTCTGGAGTTCGCCTTCACATTGGGCTGCCCGCGTCTTCTCTTTCTCCCAACAGTGCAGCACGTTTTGTAGTTCCATTTTCAAAGTGCTTACCAGAGCATCCCTGTCTGCACACTTAGTGCGGAAATGACTTAACTCTTTGTTGGCATCAGCCAGTTTATCCTGAAAGTCCTAGAGGGGACAGAGCAAATAAAGAGACTGTCAGAGGGAAGCCCATGGGAAGCGGGGCATGGATACAAAATACATAATAAAGAGTCTCAGAGCTTAAGAACCTTAAAGGAGGCATTTGTTTATAAACCTTAGAGCATGTTACTGAGTTGAATTTTGTAACAGTTTAGCTCATAAAATTATAAAATTTGGTACGTTTCAACATTTACATGAAATGTTAATAAGATGCCTTCTTCCAAAAAGGACTTTGAAAGTAGGCTTTCAAACTGTTTTAAAAAATAATTTACTAGCTCAACATTTTTTAAACATTTAAAAAATAAACCTCTTACATTTAACATAAGAACATTTACTTTTGAATGGCATTCCAAATACTAACAAAAATCTCAAATAAGTAGTATAAAATTCTACTGAACTATTCATTCCTTAGACTTAACAAATTCAGTTGACAAACTCAGCATGAACACAATAAAATTCCAATAATACACAACAACTCTGAGAGTTGCCACCGTACAGTATTGCGATGACGTAGTGCAGAAAAGCAGCCCAGAACACAAAATAAACTTGTCCTGGACCTATGCCAGGCACGATGCACTAAAAGCAACGGTTCCCTGAAATTACAAAAACTGACTCTAACTACTGATTGTTGTGATTAAGTGCCCTTGAGTCAGTTTCGACTCATAGCAACCCTGTATACAGTGTTCGACAAGCGGCTGGTGAGTTTGAACCACTGACTTTGAGATTCAAACTGACCTTATGGTCCAGTGCTTACCCTACAGTGCCACACCAGGACTCCAAATACTGACTACTGATATGCTTATATAAACTATTTTTAAGGTGCATGTAGGATAGTAAATTTAAAATCATTTTTTGATTTTATGGTATTATAATTATCTGGAAGATAATTTTTTTCTTCAGCCAAAAGACATTCCAATCAAGTCTACTTTTTTAAAAATTAAAAAATATTACTGTCACTTTGGCAATTTTTTTAAAATTAAAATTGTACCCAAACATATTTAATTTTAAAAAGAAAATACATTTTCACACATCTGTAGTTAAAAAGTATTTTCTAAATAATTATAGTCATTTCTTAGTATAAAAAAGTTACACTAAATCATAATACCTTTGTATTTTTAGTGTGAGACTCAATCTTGTGTTTGGTAGCATTAAGTTCATTAGATATCTTTTCCTTAGCATCATTCATGCTGGTTAGCTGAGGAGAGAAAATGTAACTTCTTAACATTTTTCAAGGATGAGTGATTCAAAAACGAATCTGTAAATGTTTCTCATGCAAATCTTAAACGCCGATTTTCCAGTAATAATTAAAAAGTCTTAACTAATGATTTCTTGAGTTTCAGTGCTATGTAGCTTCTGTCACAAGTTCACGTGGCTCAACAGTAAAGAAAGCATTCAAGCTTAAAATGTCAGTGAGGTTACTGTACTGTTACTAGATGTCTGCATAAAGGATTTCATTCCTATTGTAAACAAATACAACTTTATTCTTAAAATCCTACTGGACCAAAATGCCAGAGGCAGTGGCATCGGTAAGGAAAGAAAAAAGGACAGAGCAGAAGACTGCTCTTTCTATCCATCATGAGAGTATTCACTGGTCTCTCACTCCATATGACAACTTCAGGGTCGGTCACATGCAGTCCTACTGGGAAGGCTTGTGGCAGGTCATCAGTTGGTCCTGCACGGCCTGTGATTTATTCTCTTTGACAGTTCATTCTTCTTTCTGTCAGACTGCTCTCTTTGCTTTCTTTGCAGCCACCCCCTCGGTCCCCCCACTGCTGTCTCTGGCACTGGTTCACAACAAAGCGCATTGCTAAGCCAAAGCCTGCTGAGTCGACTTTTCAACTGTGCAGAGGATCATGTGACATCCACCCTCCCAAATAACAATTCGCTGTGGGTAATATGGTCCTAGTTACCCTGCATCTTCCAGACACCGGCCTCAGAGATGTCCATAAACTAACTAACAGCACCGGTTGTCTTGTCTCTCTGGGAAGGACTTAGCAGTGACTGTTCTTTACAGAAATTTAATTATTTCAATAGTCACTTTCTCTTGCGACTTTTCAACAGTCACAGAGGGTGTTAAGAAGACTCACTCTTCCTTCTTTGTTCACCTTAGAAAACTAAAGTAAAACAGCCCTATTTTCTAACGGTTTCATGGCCTTTGTGCTGTATGAAAGAAAGAGATAAACAGGAAACAAAATGCTAATTCCATGTCTTTGGCTCAAACAATCTGTTTGTTGTTTCACTAATTGTATTTACTGTAATTACTTAGTGTACTCTAATTTGACAAGAAGTAACTAAACAAACTTGAATTTTTAAAGCACAAATTCATAAAACATGTTAATACCCAAGAAAATTATTAACCCACATATTAAATAATATCAAGGAGACTGCAGAAGCAGGAGATTTTTTTCAGTCAGCAACTAAAAGTTCATGGGCGACATCAAATGAATATTTGTTTTTTAAACTTCACTATTCTCCCTTTAGAGAATAAAAACAAATTTCTTTTCTTAGGACTTCTTTCTTTTTTATTAAGACTTCCACAATTCATACAAATTTTTAACTAAACCAGCGACAAAACCTAAATTTCCACTAGCTATTCCAAATATCATAAAAACACAAAAACATCTAAAGTCAACTCAATGGTAATTTACTCATTTAAATGACTTGTATGTTTTGTTTTTCAAAATATAATTGATGAATTTTGAAGACCAATGAGTGGCACAATCTTTATAACTTTGAAAAGAATAGTGTGACTGGAGAGCTGCAAAATGTGAGACACGACTGTAGGTCACACTTAAAGAAAGAACAGTGACAGACAATTTATTATTTTTTGTATCTGTGAAGCTGTCAATTCAATATTCCCAATCTTTTGACCTTTGTAACAAGCAAGGGATATGTACTGCTGCAGGCCGAAGGCTATATGTGTGAAGCCAAACAGTGCAAGTGTTACCTCATTAGATGCATCTTCCAGCTTGTTCTGGTAATCTGTCAAGGTACGCCTCAAAGTCTCAAGGACAACAGAGAAGCTGGGAGGTTTATCTTTGTCCTTGTGGATGCCTGGAGAAAAATATAGGATGAAAATAAAGCCCTTAAAGTCACAAAGAGACAAAAGCTAAGCCAACAGTAACAGAGCTATTATAATTATGTAGAGCTGAAAAGACTTCATGAAACATTGAGTAGAGTCTTATTCTCCAAAGTATGCTGCTGACTGGCCTTTCCCAACAAGTGGTCAAATTAAAGCTATCAACTGCAAATTCATGACTATCTTCTACCTTAAGGAAGCCCACACGGTCATTAGTAGTTGTTTTTTGCTTCCATAGCTACTAAGTATCTGAAATATTTGTATTTACCTGTTATCCAACAATTCACCAATCTAATAAGCTAACAGGGTTTGGGAGAGCTAATTGCACTTACTTTGGTCCTTGTGTTTCTAATCAGTAAGGGCTTACATTAAGTACTATCTTGCTTAAATACTAATTTCTGAACTCAAGAGCACACAATTTCCTGTTATGCTTGGAACTATTCTTCAATTCTTAAAATTCTCAGGTTACAATATGAAATAAATAATGAAAAATGCTATTATCTACATAGACCCATATCATGTTTCTATTAAAAACCCTTAGAACTGATACTCGTTGTAAAAATACATATACTTCCATATCAACGACCAAGGTCACCTGGTCAAACAGTTAAAACAGTAATCCAAAGTAATATAAAATTCAGCTTTAACAACCTCTTTATTGCTTTTTTGTACAACTCTTCAAATATAAAGTAGCACATTTAACTTATGAAATTCGTAGTAAAAACATTTTCCTTTTTCTATTATGATTTCTCCCTGAAATAATTTCATGACCTAAGCATTTCCATAAGGAGCTCTGGTAGCGTAGTGGTTACGAATCGGGCTACGAACCATAAGGTCAGCAGTTCGAAACTACCAGCTGCTCCGCGGGAGAAAGATGAGGCTTTCTACTCCCGTAAGGATTTACACCCTCGAAACCCTGCAGAGGGTTGCTATGAGTCAGAACCGACTCCACAGCCCATAACAACAACAACAACAAGCATTTCCATAGACAAGAAAGGCATTTTCTTCAAACACACTTTGAAAAAGAAGCATTCACAAGATACATTCTATTATTTATTCATTCATTCAACAAATTCAACTGAATTCTTAGTAGGCACTCATTCTAAGCATGAAGCAAACAGAGGTGAACAAGATTGGGATAGCCTGTCCTCATGGACCTTACAATCTAATTGAAGAAAGGGAGACCCTAAACAAATAATCACATAGGTCATTTATCCATTTTCTAAGTATTTGACTCTGGTGCTTTTGGGGCATCAGGAGAAGAAAGCACTAATAAAGGGACAGAAAGGAGAAAAAAAGGGACAAAGGAACCCCAGGTTGTGGTGGTTCCACTTGATTCAGCTAAGAATGTAGGTGCGAACTAGCGGTCTACTCTTGGGCAAAGTGTCATTAACAAATCTGTGACTATTCTCAAAATATACTTGAAGCACTGTCCTAAAGTATGGGTACAGCTTAGACATTCCCAAACACAGCAAGAATATTTAACTTAAAAAGTAAAAGTAATGTGGAAACAACGGAAATCTAAGGTAGGGAAAAGAAAAAAAAAAAGGTATGCTCTGCATCGGGATAATGGAGGACACAGTCCCCTCTATGACTATGAGTTGGAAAGACAACTCATTAAAACTTTTATTAAGAGTCTTACCAAATATATGTTTAAAAAATTGCTCTCTTGCACAAGATAAAAAAAAAAAAAAATGTAACGTATAATTCTTTTCTTTTGCTGCTACACAAGGAGGCTATGAATAAATCATTCAAGGACACTCGGGAAATATGCTGGCTTTTACAGTATGGGAGAAAACTTCTTCGCAAATTCAGGAGAATAAAATTACCTTACTATGAGTGTTGAGAGGTAAAGGGACAAAATGCCCTCTCCTTACTGACCTCTGAACAGCCCTATATTCTATACAAAATAAATTGTCATGCCTGAAAATATTTCCACAATAAAGTTCAGTTGTAATACAAAATATGCTTTTTGTCATATCCACATCCATTATGAAAAGAAATATTTACTCGTCTTTTAACATGACAAAATTATTTAAAATAAAAAACAAAGGGTCACTCCATGCCCAGAACCTCACTGACTGATTTGAATTAACTTAGTAATATTCCAGTCACTATACCATAGCCCCCACAATAATGAACTTTTGAAGCTATTCTCTCAGAAGAAGGTTTAAAAGTTCACAGGTAAAGAGCAGTAAACGAGGCTAGCACACTGGTCACAATTAATTCCTGAAAGTTAAAGCCCAAACAAAGAATAGATTATGTAAGGAAAATATCACACTTCAGTAATACCAACCCAAACTTTCCAGTCTCCTCTCTCTCTCTCCAAGTGTGTCTCTGTGCCTGAGGGCCAGCCTTTACAGTCACTTTCTCCTCTTCCACTCTCTCCCTCTTACTCTTGAGTGGGTGTCAATTCTGGATATAAAGTGACAAATCTTTCCCCAACTAGACAGATTGGCCAAGTGGCAGCATCGATGAACTCAAGCATGGCAACACCAGTGAGGTTGGCCCAGGATCGGGCAGTGTTTTGTTCTTCTGTGCATAAGGTCGCTGTGGGTCAGTACCGACTTGATGGCACCTAACAACAACAACAACAACAAGGGTGGGGCTTGAAGTACTGGTGTGGTGCTGTGGGATAAATCAGTAGACCGAAGGGTATGTTTGAGCCACAAGGTTAGCAGTTCAAACTCACCAGCCACTCCTTGTACAGGGTCACTGAGTCAGAACTGACTCAAAATCACACAACAAAAACAAGGGGGAGCAGGTAGGGGGCATGATGGCTCCATACAAAAACACTGGATTGCAAACCACAAGGTCCACAGTTCCAGCCCACAAGCCACTTTGCGTGAGAAAGATGAGGCTTTCTGCTTCCCCGCAGTTTTAAAGCCTCAGAAACCCTATACCAGTTCACTGTGAGTTGGAACAGACTCCACAGCACTTAACAACAACAACAACGGGAGAGCTGGTAAGGTAGGAGAAAAGGTTCCAAGCTCTCTTTTATATGCTTCCTATTAGACACACTCAAAACTCCAGTGAAACCTGTGAGAGCCAGAACTCCACAGGGCTGCCCGGCTTGGCTAGTCTCAGAGGTTTTCCACCTTTGACAGGATGCAGTCATACCACTTTCCATCACTGGGCTTTGTGGAAAAGGTTGGAGTTTTTCCACTCTGGCAAGGTGCCACATTATGCGGGTTCTGTCTTTTGCAGGTCTACTGTAACTACTTTTAAATGATTCATACTCCACTACTTTTCAAACTGGGCTTGTAATCTCCATAATCTACAGTTCCACAGTTGTTGTTAGCTGCTGTCAAGTCAGTTCTGACTTATAGGGACCCTGTACAGGGTTTCTGAAATTTTACATTTTTGCAGGAGCAGAAAGCCTCAGCTTTCCCCTAAGAAGCGGTGGGCTCGAACCACAGACCTTGCAGTTCACAGTCCAGTATTTATCCTAGTAGGAAATGGTGCCACCAAACTGGGTTCCCTGAATTCACTGGGGCTGAGGGGTTCATGGGTGACACTGGCCAAGTGATTTCACTTAAATTCTTGAAACAAAGTAGAAGAAATGGAATTTAAAAGAAACTCAAACCTTTCAGCCAAGTCTTAATCAAGCTGTAAGTCCTGCGCCATTCATACAGTAGCTACAAGCCACATGTGATTGCTAAAATTCGTATTTAAACTCAATAAATTAAAACTGTCAGTTCCTTAGTCACGCTCACTACATTCCGAGTATTTTCATAGCCACATGTGCCATTAGGTACTATATGTATTAAACAGCAAAGACCAACAACTTTTCTATTATCTCAGACCAATTCACAGAAAGTCTATAGAACAAAGAAACAGGCTAAACACTAGACCATGGGAACACCATCAGAAACATCCAGACTGTGAAGCTCTTTAGAAAAATGATACTGTTTTTAACTAATAAATTTCAAGGAACTTAAAGAAAAAAAGAACAAGAAAATATGGAAGGAGGGAGGGCCCAACAGATTATTTTTAAATTACTCTCTTTAAAAATTTTATGATCCATGAGAATCCCATGCCCTATTTTTAGAGTACACAATAAAATGGAGGAATAACTATAAAAGAAATAAAGGTAGATACTTGGTAAATAAAAATAAGACAAAAAAATCCAAAGAGAAGATGTCACAAAGAGTATAAAAAGGTCATTGGAAATGACCAGCAATCAGCACAAAGTAAAGCAAAGCCAATTCTCACCTCAGTCTTCTTTAACATACTGCATCAATAGAGCAAATTTTAATTGTTGTTTTTCATATTCACTAAAGTACTTGTACAAAATTGCCTAAATGCCTAAACAAGATACTCTGGCATGGCTGAGCATTCCTTTTATTAAGAAAAGTCAGTAAACAGCATAGGTTGGCATCGATTCATGATCACATTTTAGAATGTTGAACACATTTAGTGACGTCACCCACTTGGACTGCGAACATTGAAGCTGTGAGAATAATGCACGTTTGATTTGCAAAGCTCAGTGAATCAGAAGGTGAAGGAAGCAAAAGAGAAGAAACAAGCTATTGGCACCAACAGACATATGTACGCTGCTCCTATGGGCAATCGCAGCTTCTCAGTAACTACAGCCGGTACCAGCCAGAAGCATTACAAGAGCAAACAAGATTCTAAGAAGGACACTAGGTCCTTGCAATAGTCAGTTAAGAACAAAAAGAGGAGACAGAAGAGAAAAAGCCCAATTATTTGTCCTGATGCTCCTAAAATCATTTCTCAGTCAATTCATAACGACCCTGTATAAGATTTCTGAGGAGCAGCTGGTGAGCTTGAACCGCCAATTTTATGGTCCAAATTGACTTTTCAGTCCAGCACATTAACCCACAGCACCACACCAGGACATATATATCTATATATTTATGTATCTATATCTGTCTGTCGTGCTGTGGTGGTTTGAGTTGCTGTGATTCTGAGGGCTATGCCACCGGTGTTTTAAATAACCAG